CTTTGCTCTGCTCTTCGTCCCTCTTCTCTTCATAACGGAACATAGAGTAACAGTCTGATTCGCCATCGTGGATTCCGAAATTTAAAACGCCGAGCTAGCCGTCGAATTAATTAATCGGAGAATCTCCCAAGGTCTCTCCCGAGCGCGTTATCTAAAAACGTTATCAATCTACGCTTCCTCGTCCTAAAATATCGCGGGCGTATCGACTTGGACGTTACTGTTCTGTACATCGGCTTCAATACGTAGTGACCCGTAACACCCGGCGTACATCCTGCGCGTCACACGAGCCCTCTCTCCGGCCTTCTCTGGCGTAATAAACTAATTTCTACCTCCCGCGTGGATTATACAACCAAACCGCCGCTATCACGCGGTCGTACGAACTACGACGTGTACTTATAATCTCCTCGACGTGAGCACGTCGGGCATGTCGCGATTAGCTTAATCACATGAGCGCGCACGCACCCACGTTTCTGTCTTGTCCTGTGCCTTATGCGTAACACGCGCGTGCACAAGTCGGAGAAAGTCCTACACTGAGAAAAATTATTCAATGAGGAATTAACAAACGGATATTTCCGGCTAAAATACCAATAAATTTTCGTATCCGATCAGGAAACATGAGAAATATCGGTTCATAATTTTTTTATCGGTTTATCTGATAAAATGTCACACTGAGAGAAATTATCCGACAAAGAATTAACAAACAGATACTTCCGATCAAAATACCGATGAATTTTTATATCCGATTAAATTTAATCAGATACTTCCGATCATAATGGCATTTTATCAGATACATCAATCAAAAAATTATAAACCGATATTTTTTATAGGATGTTTCCTGATCAGATACAAAAATTCATCGATATTTTGATCAGAAATATTTGTTCATTTTTTATAGGGTTACTTCTTTCAGTGCATTATGATCGGAAATATTAGATTAAAAATCGGATATCCTAATCGGATATAAAAGTTTATCGGTATTTTGATCGAAAATATATGTTTGTTAATCTTTTATTGGATAATTTCTTTCAGTGTACATTCTCGCTGCTACTAAGGTAAACGCACTAATCTAGACGGTTAAGAGCGCTATGATAGAATGTTCTGTAAAGCACCTGGCCACAAAGAGATTCTTGTTGCGTGATTAACATACAAATGAAAAGTTATTTTTTCTCCAGAGTAAAAATAACTTAATTGAATATTAATTTCCGTAATGAGTAGTTATAGGAGTGAACAATTTTATGAAGTACACGCAACAATGCGTCTGTTTTGCATAATGAATTTTTAACGAAGCCAGCAAATTAAATCTATACCTTATATATATATATACTTCAGTATATAGGAAGTCTCAGATCTCCATGATAATCCTTTGTGAGAACGTAGAACGTTGAGCAAAAAGAAGTGAGCAAGAAAGTACTGTACCGTTTTGAGATAATTCGCAATATATAAAATAGTCGAGATATTAATTAAAACAGATTGGTGAATGATCACACGCAATATGGTAGATGAGCTGCAGTGGCGTCGTTTGCCGTTGTATACTTATAAATTAAGTCAAACTGAACAAAAAAATTTTTTACTATTTTCTAAAAAAACTACATAGATTTTTAGATATTAATTAAAGAAAATTTGTGCATTATGATATACAATCATATATGTAACAATTTTTTTTAATATTTAAAAATCTATGTGATCATTTGCAAAATGATAAAGGACTTTTTTGTTCAGTTTGACTTAATGTATACGTATACAACGGCAGACGGCGCCACTGCAGCTCATCTACCATATCGCGCGTGATCATTTACCAATCTTTTTTAATCAATATCTCGATTATTATTGCGAATATCGCAAAACAGGACTTTCTTGCTCACCTCAATCTGTTCTACGTTCTCACAAATAGTCATCATGGAGGTCTGAAACACCCTGTATAAGTAAAAAAATTAAATTTTCAAATTTATTTATATAATTCAAAACGACTCAATTAGCTTTGTCAATAATTCAACAAATTCTTGCATCCGTTATATATACTGACAAATAAAATAATGATTTAATTTACGAGAAATATAAATTCATGGAAATAAATGTCCGGATATTATAAGTAAATCAAGTAAAGTACGAAAATAAATGCCTTTTATTGTGTACTGAAAATTTAATTATTCTTATTCAAAGACTAAAACCGGCTTTATTCCGTGAAAAACTAAAAGTGTTTAGATTTGTGAACGTGTTTACACTATACTTTTATCTTTCACGCCTTCTTTTTTTCTCTCTTTTTTTTTCTTTGTTCTTTTTACAGACACACTGCTATTCCGGAGAAATTTATTTGGCCGTTTTAACGCTTTGTTTACGTAGTTTTCTGAGATATGTCTCATCTCTCTTGTTACATTTGTCTACATCTATAAATTTCGCAACAACAAAACAAAATTTAATTAACTCTTGCAATTCCTATCTTATTTGCTGTTTTGTAGAAGTGAACTGGAATATACGAGATGTCCAGTGCATATATTCGCCCAGGGTAAAATTGGATTTTTAATTTTACGATCCCGTCGTGTTTCAACTTTCACGGAAATCCCGATTGTACAGGCTCAAATTATACAAACTACATTTGTGAATATTCGAGATTTTTCGGCAGAAGTGAAATTGAATACTCTTCGGGGTATCGTAATTTCTGTTTGTCTTTATTCATACGTGTCTTCCCCTCCAACGTATAAATCACGTTTTATATCCGGCATTGCTGATACCTCTTATTCCGACATGTTGCCGTACCTCAGTTCTAATCCCTGTTCCCGTAGTACGGAGATGGTTCGCAACGTTTGCGACACCCGACGCGTGTCCCTGGTCGGAATTGCGCGCTTGTGTAACACAACGGCTACGTAAACGCGCACAAGGGTTTAGTTAGCGCGCGGGTGCGGGGTGTTTGGACTCGACAGCGACCATAGCCTCCTCACTCGCGCTGCAACCCTCTCGCCTGGTCTAAAATTAGACGAGAGCAGCACGGGGAGAGTTTATTCAAATTGCTCCGGTACTCGCGCGCGATACCCACGAAACAGACTGTCGGATTTTCGAGGGAGGCAGACTAACCCATTGAATTCACACCACGGAGAAGCGGATGCGCCGACGATGGGCATTCAACGACGATTCAGTCGCTTTGTCGCTCGGCGTCGGTGACTAAGGGATTAATGACAGACGCGAGAGACAGAGAGAGAGAGAGTGGGGAGGGGGAGGGCCGCGTTTTTGTCGCGGATCTATCGTCTTCCGCGAAGGCGAAAGGACGGGGAAACCGCACGTCCTCGTGAATAATTAATTACCGTTTCGTTGATTAATCCGCCTCTCGTCGTCGCGAGCCGGACGAGACTCTACACAAGGAATTTCGCAAAAACCTGGATAATGGCGGCGAAATGGTGTTCTTTGTGCTATTCAGTGATGAGGCGTTTCTTCTTCGTTCCGTTAGGACGCAGTTTTCTCACGCGACATTGACATTATCAATGATAAGAGTAACTACACTTTGGTAACTTTACACAAAAAATATAATTCTGATACTAAGGAAAGCGATTAATCATTTTATTTTCCTTCTTTTAAATAAAGGCCTCCGCACAAGAACGTTTATAATACGTTATGTTAACTTAAGAATAAATTTATGTCAACGCAAAAGAAGTCCGTTTTATGAGAGTTCTTCCTTGCACTGAGAGAAAGCATCCGATAAAAAATCCAATCAAGAAATCCGATAAGAAATATCAGTTCATAATTTTTTGATCGGTTTATTTGATGAAATGCCATTATGATCAGAAGTAGTTAAATTTAATCGTATATACTGACCAAATAGAAAAATTAATCGCAATTTGATCGAAAATATCCGTTTGTTAATTTTTTATCGGATAATTTCTCTCAGTGTGAGTTACGGATTTCGTTGCGTATTGACATAAGTTCATTCTTAAATTAACGTGTTACAGATGTTTTTGTACAAAAAAGCTAATGGTTATCTTCCTATTTATAATCTTCATCACAAAATATTTCCTTGATAATAATTTTAAAATATCAACACGAAATATTCAACACAAATTTAAGAAAAACTTATTATCATATACTTGAAAAAAGATTCTTCATTCTCTTTATAAGAATATCAGAAAACTTTATTGAAGAAAAAGTTGGTTCAGCTCTATATGAGCGAACTGAATTTTTGTTTTAATTTAATATTCTTGTTTAAAACGCTAAACTTAAGAAAATTCAAAATATATTTTGAATAAATTTGATAAATTTGTGATATATATTTCGGATATAAATGTTTTAAATACTTGAAACATTTACTTGAATGCAATATATATTTTTTCGTATGTATACTGATGTTAAAATCCCGAAAAGACAAAAATGATTAAAGTGTTAGTTAAAAGATGAAATTTTATTATTGCGTTTCTGTAAAAATTTCGCGAGAACCTTTAATCTTCTCAATTAAAATGTTTTTTTTATCTAAAAGTTTTATCAAGAAGCTTTGAATTATATTTTGACAAAGAAAAATTTATTGTGAATGTTGACAGAAAACGCGGTATTATTATTATTGTACGAATCGCCCATTATTACTTCCATTTTATATTAATTATAATTATTCATTTTCAAATAATTTTTTTCAATTTGCAAAGTAACGCAACTTGTACGATCGATCGACTAACGCGTTCTGCAGCATTTTCAGAAGGGAACCTCCTTCATTTAAATTTAGAAGTCAAAGTCCCGCTTTTCTTGGCACAGTTCGCGTCACGTAACGTTAAGTTTTCAAAATCTCAAAAACTTGCCCAGAGTAGATATGAGAAGAAGGATATTATCCATGTTTCACGTTTCATCAAGGCAAGATATTAAGGAAAGTACACTTCTCTGTGCGTGAAAGTAAATTTATCGCCGGGATTTAAAGGGCTTTAGAGCGGACCGGAAGCAGGGACCGGAAAGCGCTAGAATTCCTACACGGCGGAAAAAGGGTCGGCGTGCTGTCACAGGACACAGGAGATGCCTCAGGGACTACTCACCGTAGTTTTCTCCAAGCAGCGAAGTAGGTGATGATGCTGCAGCTCGAAGATATCCTCCTCCTTGTAGTCCTCCAGCTGCAGTCCGCTCTGCTGAGCGGCCAAACGCGCCTCCGCTGCCTTCTTTTTGCTCACGAAGGCGGCGCCGCTCGACGCCTTCGCGATCCTGATACGCGCCAATCTGGCTTTCTGTAATCAGAAAGATGGAAATTCGTGTTATTTCTCCGCTCGTTTTATTGATCAAAGTCTGAAGGAACGAGATTGAGAACAGGCAGAACTTCTTCCTGAATTTTAATTGACGTTTATTATGAAAACCAACTTCTCTAAGATGAAGACGGTAGAGGTTAAAGTGAGAATAAACAGAGTAAAAACATTGCAAATCCAAGTGTATTACTTTAAGTGAATTTTTTTTATACGTTTCTTACCGTTTTAAGTCGTTTAACGTGTTTAAATTATTTAAAGATAAATTATTATGTTAAACGTGCTAAATGGCGAGATTTAAAACCGCAAGAAACGTGTAAAGAGGTTCATAAAAGGAGCTTCAGCCAAATTACACGCTTACGTGTTTAAAAATAATATACCTGGATACAGCGAATGCCAAAATGTAGGAATTTTATAAATGTTGATAACGTAGAGACGATAATGATATATGTTAGATAAGCATTAACATCATCACGCTATCATTTTCGTATTTCTTAGATATATAGATTCTTAGACATATAGATCTTTCATATTTTGTTTCACTATATAACGGAAAATATAACCAGGCATATATCGAAGTCTGTCTACAAATTTCTCGTATATTTTTAAACTTCTTTAGATTCATTTGCAAATATATAGCAAATGTTCTTTGAAATTTTCCTTAGCGAATCAATATAGAAGCTAACAGATTAAGACGTTAATTTTAAATCTTCTTATCATTTTCTTTACATATTGAACAATACTCCAATTTATTTTTGCACCTACTTATATTATGCAAAAGCATTTGTAATTCTCTGAAACACGAACGTAAATTTTGCAGAAAAAAACCGGTATTACGTTGATAAAGTTTTCAAGTATATATATAAATATGTAAATAAATGTGTATATATATAAAGACACATACACACATTTATGTGTGTGTATTTCACATTATACAATAACGAGATTTCTGATTTAAGTATAACAATTCTGATAACAATTCTGATTTAAGTGTAATTTGTTATTTTTATTGTATTATAAAAATTTATTATTATGAATATAATTATATATAATTAAATATAATTTTATTATTATTAATATAATTTAAAAAAATAATAAAAATTATAGGACGATTATAAGGCTCTCTAATTAAACAAAATTGAAGATGTTCAATAAGACAAGGAAGAGCCAAAATATTATATGTTTATAATTATATACTATTACAAGCATATAATATCGGCACTTTTTGCTCTTCATTGTTCTATTGAACACTTTCAATTATTAATATAATTAAATAGTAATCAAATTTTATTTTTATTAATAATCTATTAAAAAGAATTTCAGTTACAAGTTACAATTATCGCAAGTTATAATTATTAACAGAAAACAATTTCCAAATAAATTTCCATAACGGAATTAGTGTTATTTCTAGGAAAAGTATGTGCGTTAGCTGTTTCTTAAAAGAATTACGTTTTCACGTATTGCTTAACCATTTGTTCGTTTCGAGAGACAAAAATACAAACTTAATGTTGTAACTTTAATTGCGCGCAGGAGGGTGCGCAAGGGACGACTGGAATGACGAAGATTCGTCTCATTGTGGGAAACGAACGAGCAAGCTAACGAAGGATTGTATCTTATTTCACCATTAAATATGCGCGGTTGTTTCTTTCAACGCACGCGCGTTCACAAGGGATAAATTTCCGCTAAGGCCGGAATAAACTTTTATCTCGACGCGGTGATACACGACCACTAGACCTCATCGTGCCTCCTTAAATCTCCATTTTACACGGCGTAGGGAAGCCTACGGTTGACAAATGACCAAATTTCGCCACCCATAAATATTCCACGTAAATTCCTGCCGTTGAAAGGACGCTCTTTCGAGACAGCTTACTCTCAGCGATTTTCGATACTTTCACGTTCTTCTTTAACTAAACCGCTTGCCAGCTCTTTACTTCGCGATCTACTATTCACGAACCGAAATCTTAAAATCTTAAAATCTGGTAAGTTAAATCTTTCTCAACAAATTAATTGTTGTTTCTTGTATTTGTTGTACGCTGGGAAAAAGTATTTGTTATTTGTAATCATAATCACATAGAGAAATAATTACTATAAATTATGATCAAGAAAACCATTTTTTATTAAAGTCTACTATAAGGTTAATAATAACCTTATATGTACGTTATCACTACCATTTCGTGTTAAAACAAGCAAAAAATATGGTCGGGGCCAGAAATAACTATAATTTTAGTTAGATCTATCATTATTTCTCTAGATGTATTCTGTCAAAAATAAAAAGAAATGATAAGAAGTAAAAAGAACCAGAAAGTAATAAAGTTTTGTAGGGTTTAATGACAAAACTCCATGTTTGCTTTCTATCCCAGTATTTGCTCACTCCTGAGAAACTCGGAAGAAAGTTCAACTTGCTGTTTCAGCGAAATATCTAGCTCCATCTCTTTCTGTCCACTACACCGTGAAAGCTTCAAGAACCTAGGCCATGATTTTATGTGTTAACTAATCAAAAGCGTAGTGTATTATAATTAAGCAATGATACTATACAATATACTATGATATTATGAACATTGCAAGAACAATATCAGAATAATACAATGTTCGATTTTCCGTAAATTATAAATAAACAACTTCAAAATACGATATATTCCCTTTATGTAACAGAGAGAAATCACGAAAATGCCGAACTCGCAAAGTCTCTACCACCTTAAGCTGTTGTGAATATAACTGCAAACAGTAACAATACTAACCATTTATTTATAATGTCGGACAAATGAAAGACTATAAATAAACACGGCTCTATCTACCCTGTATTTTTCCAAGAGACTTTATAAATAAACGACCTTATGCAACCTTATCGACGCCTCACACAACCACGTGTCTAATATTTTTTTTTTACGGTCGACCTGCAACAACTATCGCGCTATTTTATGCGGCGAGAAATAAGCGCGTAAGCCGCGCGAACGCGTATAATTCTCTCAGCTTGCGCCGTTTAATCCTCGCAGGATGATCTTTCGTTACACAATTGGTTTCATATCACACGTCGGTTTCAAAATGCTGTGCGCAATTATGCAGGATGAAACTTCGCTCTCGGGAAAACCAACGAGGTAACACAAAGCGCAAGGTGAGCGTCGAGTAGTTTTTTTCTAGATATGTCGCAACCGGAACGTTCGCATTATAGGAAATTCTGTCGGGGCTCTGCTGCGGTTTTTGCGCGAATATTATATCGCGAATGTACTCCCGACTGACTCTTTTCCGGCCGCAAACGAGGATTAACGGCGAAGTCCGAGCGGTCGCGTATCGACCGCGCTAATTTTGTAACTTTCGCAACTCGTCGCTATGCAATTGCGGAAATTGCGGCAGACGGCAATAAGCGCCAATTCAATACTCGCATCTCGGATCACTTTGAGAGCGGTAACGAGGCTAAGGCGGTAATATCCGAGGCGGAGTTCCCGCGAGATCCTCCGAACACACACGCCGACGTATGTATTTTTGGTGGACATCGATATCGATAGTTACTATTAATCGGTTGATTAGAGGCTGAAAGGACTAGGCGTTTCTATAGGTTCTATTTTTGCTGGAGCAGAAGAGGGATAGGGCGGCGCGTCACTAGTGCGCGCGTAGAGTCGAAGAATTCGCTCGATAAAAATGTGGACATACGAGGAATTAAGCCCCCTCCTCGTCCGAGAGATTTACCCTTCCAACCACGGATTATTTTTGCAAATAGAAGCTATTTCCGGCGCAAAGCTAAAAACCCACCTTTTTCCTTGCGTGTACACGGCCAGTTTTCAACGAATACGTACCCGAGCAACAGAATTTTTCACTAAAAAGTTTTCAGACAGATATATATATATATATATATATATATATATATATATATATATATATATATATCTGCGTTTCTCTTATTTCAGAATTTGGATAAAGCATTACATGAAAAAAGAGTCACTGTAGCATAATGTGCATCTATAGATTATTTTTCACGGCATCTCTCTCGCGCTTGCATTCGTCATATTTATATTTATACTGCTCATATGTAAAAAATTCATCAGTTTTTACTATTTAAGCAGATAGAAACTGTTAAAGAGCTGAATAAAAAAATCATATTGAGATAAAGCTGATTATTAGTCCCTATACAAGTAATTCAAATTCTTCATAGGTGGCATTATTACGGCAATAGGGTAGTTTATGCTAGTTGATAATAATTCTCTAGGATATGATTCATTTAAAGCTACAAGTGCTTTGGAGCGCGTAAAGAACGATTATTGGTTCACACAGCGCTTCGAAACATTTGCAACATCAAGTGGATGCTACCCCTAAAAACCGGCTATTTACTGTCGAGACACGAACACCGATTAAACTGAATAGAATTTAGGTAGTAACACTGGACAAATATTGGATAAAATATTCGGTCAATTACTGACAATATTTTGACTTATCCTTTATTTGAAACGACGCAAAGCCCTAACAAAAACTCTAGCGTCGAGGTAACCGCTCTCATCCTTTGCTAATTCTAAAATATTCAAAATCGAAATCATCAAACCAAATCAGTGGAACACTGGAATCTAATGTCCATAATTTTATCGCACATTCAGCATTAAATGCTGTTACACGAAATGCTGTTGTGCGAACGCCCATTTAACACCTTACCCGCGTCTAAATTCCGAAACTTCAGAGAGAGAGAGAGAGAGAATTAACTGTCCTCAGTACTATTAAACTCGTACTTGAAAGTGCGAACCGGAAACTCTCTTCTCTCTCTCTCTCTCTCTTCACTTCATGGATTCGCGATAAGCACAAAGTGTGAAGGTGCGAAAGCGCCACAAGGTCGCCTCGCAAAACAGAAACCCGTCGTTCGATTTACGCACGCCTCGGTATATTTTCACGCGATGCAATATACCGGCCAGAGTCTGCAGCGTCGCGGTTTTCCACGACGTGCACTCGCTCGCGGATGCTTGCGGATGTTTACGCCGTTACGGGCCGGGGCGTCTGCGAAGCGTCAA